TGGAGGACTGTGTGGCCCCCTAAAGAAATGCCACCCCACACCATTACTGACCCACTGCCAAACCGGTCATGCTGGAGGATGTTGCAGGCAGCAGAACATTCTCCATGGCGTCTCCAGACCCTGTCACGTCTGTCACATGTGCTCAGTGTGAACCTTTCATCTGTGAAGAGCACAGGGTGCCAGTGGCGAATTTGCCGATCTTGGTGTTCTCTGGCAAATGCCAAATGTCCTGCATGGTGTTGGGCTATAAGCACAACCCCCACCTGTGGATGTCGGGCCCTCATACCACCCTCATAGAGTCCTTTTCTGACCGTTTGAGCAGCCACATGCACATTTGTGGCCCACTGGAGGTCATTTTGCAGTGCTCTGGCAATGCTCCTCCTGTCCCTCCTTGCACAAGGGTGAAGGTAGCGGTCTTGATGCTGGGTTGTTGCCCTCCTACGGCCTCCTCCATGTCTCCTGATGTACTGGCCTGTCTCCTGGTAGCGCCTCCATGCTCTGGACACTACGCTGACAGACACAGCAAACCTTCTTGCCACATCTCGCATTGATGTGCCATCCTGGATGAGCTGCACTACCTGAGCCACTTGTGTGGCTTGTAGACTCCGTCTCATGCTACCACTAGAGTGAAAGCACCGCCAGCATTCAAAAGTGACCAAACCATCAGCCAGAAAGCATAGGAACTGAGAAGTAGTCTGTAGTCACCACCTGCAGAACCACTCCTTTATTGGGGATGTCTTGCTAACTGCCTATGCTTTCCACCTGTTGTCTATTCCATTTGCAGAACAGCATGTGAAATTGATTGTCAATCAGTGTTGCTACCTAAGTGGACAGTTTGATTTCACAGAAGTGTGATTGACTTGGAGTTACATTGTGTTGTTTAAGTGTTCCCTTTATTTTTTTTGAGCAGTGTATTTTAAACAACTGTTTTAATAGTTACACTAAACTGGAATACAGTAGTTGAAGGGTAAAAAAAATCAATTCCCACCTAAAACAGAAAAGCAGAAAAACGAATAAAAATGATACATACTCTTGTTGGTCTTTGCTGCTGCCTGTGCAATCAAGGGGAAATTGCGTATGACGCCTTTCAAAAGAAGCATATAGTGATGGGAGAGTTTAGTTGCATCAACATCTATTGAGCGACATTGCTGCTTTAATGACAAATGAAGCTTCATGTTTGTGCTTGAGTTCCTGCCATTGTGCAAACGGAGCTGCATGCACAAACATGTGCTCCTGTCACTTGCACAGCCTGGTTCTGAACAGGCTGCAGCCCCATACCAGGCCATGGCCCAGGGGCTAGGAACCCTGTTTTAATAAACCAAAAAGTATTTTCCAATTGAGTATTTAGGGTTTTTTTTTCTTTGCAAGTTTAAGGACTGATCACTAATCAACCTCCTAAACCTGACATTTTGGAAATATACTTTTAGTTTTAAACCTTTAGTTTTAAACCTACTATATCTTACAATATGGTGGTTATTTCATTATCAAAGTAATAAATCCAAAAACTAAATGCAGTTGTATTTGGCATTTTACGTTTTTTTACCAGGACCAAAAGCACAACTAATGCTAAGATATCCAGATGGGAAGAGGGAACAGATTTCATTACCTGAACAAGCTAAGCTTCTGGTATGTAGAAATAATTAAAACTTCAAAATAGATATAATTCTTGTTTTAGTAGTTACCATTTCTCACCTTTGTGTATAGGTAATAAATATGCATGTTTCAGTTTATTAAGATCTAATTTTGATGAATCTAATGTTATATGGGAACTATGATTGTATTTCAAGATTTACTGTATTTGGATGTTACCTCGTATTCGTATTTATCTTATAGAATATTAAAAGTAAAAATAAAAATAAAATTTTAAAAAATGCAAAAAAAAACCACCGTATAAACAGTGTCCTACTAGATCAGATTCTGGCGCATCTAATCTAGCAGTCTGTTCTCACAGTGGAAAACCAATTTGCACAACGAAGCACAGCAATTGGGGTCAGTTACACTGTCCTTAAGGCTAGTAGCCATTGATCCTCAAGGCTTCCATGAATTGGTCCAACCCTTTATGAAGTCAACCAAGCGGATAGCCAGTATCATATCTTGCAAAAATATAATTACCTTCGTACATGGACTATTTTGCATTTCTATTCAACAGCGAAATACCAAGGTGATTTTTACTTTTTAAAACAATGAAAACAAGTATACTAAGCTTCCCATTTTGGGTTGTAAGTGTCCCACAGAATCCCTATGTTAACCCAAAACTTCAACCATGTCCTTTCACTTGTATTTCTTCTACCACCTGTCTTCCCCCAGCCGCCACCACTAACCACATCAAAATTAGAAAGTAATACACACACACACACACACACACACACACACACGTCTTGTATGAACCTCTATGGGCAGTTGATGAAATTTCTTTATATTTGTTGCTTTCATAATCAGCCAAGGGATAGAAAGTAAAAAAAAAAAGTGTGTAATTTAGTTTGTATCTTTCAGACTGTGCTTTCTCCAGTGTACATGGTGTGTACGTAGATTGCAAACTAGTACCTATAAGTAGTATTGGTTATTAACATAAAGGGGAAGAATAAATTCTGTTTATTTGCTAAAAGTATTTTCAGAATAGAACTGCAGGGATTCAATTACTGATATGCTGATTCATCAAAGTCTTTTGAAAATCAGCCTAAGTATATTATTTGATATTTCAAAGAATCAACAAATAATTGTATACAAACAACATTATAAACAATATCCTCCAGTAACAGATACTGTATTGTTTTAATTACTCCATTAAGTTCTGTGATCAAAATAGTTATCTCCTGTTTCTCTGCAGGCTCTTATCAGACATGTACAGTCAAAAGGATACCCCAATGAACGTTTTGAACTCCTCACCAACTTTCCCCGGAGGAAACTTTCCCATTTGGACTATAACATTACATTGCAGGAAGCTGGTCTTTGTCCACAAGAAACTGTATTTGTTCAGGAAAGGAATTAATTTCCTCCCTTATCATCTCCACCTACAGTACTAACTCAGTACATATGCAGAATTGAAAGCAAGCAGCCATTTCTCTCCCATTCTTTATGCTATTCTTAACAAGTGAACGAAGTGAAATTGGCAGAAAAAGTTCATTGATGCTGGAGGAAGGCTTATGTGTTCAGTGGTTTGTTGCTGTTTCAAAATAAAGTTGCCTATACATCCAGCATGCTGCAGAAGAAAACTCCCGAGCAAGAACAATTTTCTTCCCCTGAGAAAAAGATATCTGTTTTCTTTAATACATTCATTTTTCAGAGATCATATAACCAGGCATTAAGGAATTTTTCAGACAACCATGTCAACATGTGCAATATATCTACACGGAAGATATTTTGTGTTTCCAATTGACATGTGCATTGTTTGGTTTTCAGCATGGGTTCTTTTTCCTTGGGTTCCACGTGTTCTGAAATTAGAATGCTTCCCACCGTATACTGCTGGTTGTATGTAATAAATTGTTACACATTTATGTGCACAGCTTTTTAGGAAAGAACCACAGGCTTTAATGACTGTGAAGAGATTCTGTGTTTTGGCTACAAGTCAAGTAAAAAACAAATGATGTGCTAGATTCATTGCCCAAGTAACCTTTCATAAATCAGTGACATTGCAAAAGGGGCTGTAGAATATGGAACATGAAAGTTGTATGTACTGCTTTTGGTAGAGAGGAATGTGGTAATGAAGAAAAATAATAGATGTACTTAGTATTATAAAGTTGCCTTGTGTAACCCAGAACTGCAGGCTTCTTCCTTTTCACAATTAAAATTGTAGAAAGGGAATTGATTTCTCTTTTTTTCTCTTCAAAATATTGCCAGAAGTGAAACAGTCATAAAGGTTGAATGTAAAACTTTTAAAACCTCTTCTTAATGTTGTTTTCGTTCACTATTCTGCCATTTGGATGTTTCTCCCATTGACATTTAGTGAATGTACACAGATTCTGGGCCCCAAGCAAGTATCTTTTTTTCAGAAATTTTGAAATATTTTTGAGTAACAATTGAATTTAATTATGTTAATAAAATTTAATTTAAGTACAAAGCAGTAAACATGGTTTCCCAACAAGAAATGCGATTTGAAAAAAATTAAGAAATAGCTGTTTGCCATCGTTTGTTCTAAATGGCCAAAAAATTATAGATATGTTCCAAATACAATGGCAGCTGAGTGTTGGATCATTGGGATCTGATAATATTTGGCATTAAACTAGTAGGATGGGTTGTATTGCCATTACATTTGATTAATCCCTGTATGTGAATTTAAGGATTAAATATATTTATGCTGCATTGTAGAATGAAAACATTCCCCTACTTATTTTTTTTCCTGTACAGATACTAGTAACAGATGTAAAACAAATGTAGCATGGATTAATAAGTATTTTATAAATAGGCCACAATTGCTTTTATGTTCAATCAAAACCATGCAGCTATTACATTCCTAAATTAATGGAGACCCAGAAATATGCTCAGTAATGGATCAAGCTTTAAATATGTAATGTTTTTGAACATTGATACCTACAAACATTGGGGACATAGGTAAAAAGAATAGTGAAGGTTAATGCTGTAGGTAGTATTCTGTTAAAATGTATCTAGATGCTTGTATCAAATACTAACAGTTGTGCTCTTATCTTTTTTTTTAACCACCTTTCATCCTTTATTTTTCCTTCAATTTTGTTGTGACCTTTCCTCCTGCCTTACCTTTCAGAAATCTTTTAAAGTTCTTGGTCTGCTCCAGGAAATAGAAACTTTATCTTACACATCTTCCATTTGTTGATTTTTATTTTTATCCTTAGAATAGTCTGGAAGTTAAATCATGGTAACTGGAATTCTTTTTGGTTTGAAATCTTTTGCTGCTTATTCAAGTAGCTTCTTCAGTCTGAAGAAAAATAGTTTACAGAATATCCTTTAAATAGTTTAGTAGCTGAAGGCCTTATGAACTGTGGTTCTAAGACATTCTGAAAAAGGGAGAATTGTAGAAAGTGTCTTCCAAGCAGAAAAGCAGCACATAAATCTTAATTAGGGACAAAATTATTATAATTGGATAATTTAAAAGTTATTGTTACTAGTATTTTTACAGGTTTTTGTTTTAAATATTACTGTTCAAGGAATGTGGATACGGGTTATGTAAAATAAGTTGTGAATTAATGCCTGATTCTAGATTGTCCTCTTTTGTCTCTAGACTTAAACATCATTCCATCTTATGCAAAATAAGATGGAAAACAGTATAAACAATGTATACTGTTGTTTCTAAAAATACAATTTTAGTAAACGCAATAGAACCCACTGGGGATTCTAGTCTTTCAGTCCTATTTCAGTTTGCTATTGAAGCAGATTAGTGATCATAGAGAACTTTGAAATGATCTTTGGAGGATCCATACACATACCTAAACAACAACAGATTCCTGGCATTTGGAATTTAGGGAATATCTAAACATCAGTGATGTTTGCTATAATTGACAAGCCTGCCATCTGCAAAATCATTTGAGATAAGCTCCTCATTGTCATTGTTTCACTTTTAAATATGCAGGTGTAATATTAGAAGATGAATTCAAAAGGCATTCCAAAGTTTTCAAATGAAAGTTTATCTGTTTGGAGAAATTGATATATTAATATCAATATTTAACTTTGGAGGATGTGATTTGGATTCTGATAAAATTATGGTTCCTTCAAAACATTTAACTTTTTAAAGTTGGATTGCTAGCTTTATATTGTTATAGCTTGAGCTATGTAAAACTGTTGTCTACCTTTTTACCGATAATAGAAGCCATTTCTTTTAATTATGATATAATTTTAAAATGAATGGGGGAAGAGATGTCACTGGCTGTGATAAGAATGATCAAACTCAAGGCAACCTCTGATCTATATGTACAACTGCTGCATTTTTATAAATATGTGTAAATGTCCTTCCTAATGTAATATTTTGATCCTGAAAATAAATCAGACATTTTCACTAGTTTTTAGTCTGTTTGGTGTGCGTGGAATGGGGGGATAGAAAAGGAAGGAAGGAAGGAAAATACTTTTTGGAGTGGAGGTTTATTGAAAATAAAATCAGGATATTAACACAAAATCAAATATCTTCTACACATTAGATTAAGAAATAGTTATGATTTCAGCCCAGTCATCTGAAGGTATTTCTTAATCAGATGCTAGTGAGTATATAATTAGTAAGTGCATAATGCCAAGTAAATATTGCATGATTGTATTCACTTGGTTACTTTTAGATATTAAAACTTAAAATCTGTGTAGCATAAGCATTTCATTTATGCTAATTCATAATTGTCCAGAATCAGAAAAAAAGTATTTTGAAAGCAAATAGTAATTCTTGATAGGATTATATTTACAGAAGCATCTGCCCTATTAACAAAATTTAGTAAAATCTTTCTTAAGAGCGATGTAGGACAAAGCATTTTCTATGAAAAAATTACTACTCACCCACCCAAAGTATAATATTTTTTTTTACAAAACAGCTATTCTCAGTATTTTGTGGAACATAGCTATAATAATGGCTCTTTTCTGTAACCTCACTAAAATTCAAACTGTGAAATGCATAATATATCTTAGACTTCTCTTTTAATCCTCTGGCACAGGTGTATTACCACAAAAGTAAAAATTGGACTCAGATTAAGGGGCAGTTTCACTGTGCCACATTTATATGTGAGAATGGTATATAACAAGTAGGCCAGTCCAAAATTGAACCTGTTACATATCACTCATTAATCATTTTGATTTGAAAGTTAAAGATTTTCAGGTTTTCCTGTCATATAGGTTTCAAATTTGCAGTGAGATTTGAAGAGTCACCATGATGAATACTAAAACTGTAACAGCACTGATTCAAACACTAATTATAATTGTCATTCTTGTGCAATATTTAGAAGACTTATTATGTCAGCAGACAGTGAAGAAGTTTTTGCTCCACCCACTACTTTTCCAGAAACAATTCATTATATAATTTTCTGGTCATATAAAATATGTTGCTCATATTTTATAGAGCTTCCAAATTCTTAGCCACTGGGAATTATTGTCGCTGAAGTCCAACACATTTGAGAGTCAGATTGTGGAAGTCTGTGTTTATTCATCCATAATCTCTCAGATGAAAGAATTTTCAAGCTCTGAATCAAAAGAATTATTTATAGACTCTGAAGAAGATATAATACTATAGGAAGAAGGCTACTCAATTCTTTGGCAAAGTGGGTTTCTTTTGCTTCTAGGTGGAGGAGGAAGGAATAGTTTTAGAGATTTAGGTTAGGAAAAATATAGTAGTTTGGAAGGCAATTAATTTTTGCCTAGTAGCTACTAAGAGACCAAAACCCAACTTCCCTGAATTGGATAGATTCCAATAAATAAACTGTCTCAGAATTTTGAAAACTAAAGTATGGCCATATGAAGAGACCCATGGTTACAGTATTAACAATTATAATGTAAGGAAATGTGAGCCCCCATGGCAGAACTAGCCTAGTGTTTTTCAGGACATTAAACTCATTATCATTCATATCCACTAATGTCTGTTGAAATGCTTGACATTTTATTAACACTTTCATGTTTTGGAGGAAACAATAATTCTTCACATAAAATGGAGCCAAAAACTCTATAATAGGATATATTTCATTAGTAAAACATGAGAAAAACAAATATAGATTAATCAAATTAAATTTGATCCACAAAATGCCAGAAAAACGTGCCTTTGGAAAGCACGCTTGGACTATGGTTGAACTCACACAATGTTTAATTCATTTACTTCCAAGTTAAGATACAGAAAAATTTATCCTTTGGTGTTTTCTCAAAATAAATTTGGGGTTTCCCTGTTTGACACTTTATATCCACAGTACTTCTGTGTGGACCTCCATCCAAGCTAATCTGGATATTTTAAACTTTTCAGTGGTGCCAAGTCCTAGATAGCTGGCAAAATCAAGGTAGCAGGAATTACACAGATTTGTGGAAGCTACAATAGTCCTGCATAACAACAGAATCTTGAAAACCTTCAACAAAATCCCAGCCTCCATTTTGGGAGTTGATCAAGACAAGAGAGTCACATGTGGACTGCTTTGCCTCTTCAGAAAAAAAACAAATGTTTCATCTCCCATTCTCCCAACATCTCTTGCACTGGTTGGTTGACCAAGCACTCAGCTGGGAAGATAGCTAAAGGGTCAAATTATTCTAAACCAGGGTGTCAAACTCATGTTGTCATGGCAGCAAAAAACTTGTGCAGCAAAAGTTTTAGGGGTTCTGAATAACCATGGACCTAGATGGAACTAATGACACTTGTGTATTAAGCTGCACTTACCCATTTTGCTCAGCTCCATTTTTTTCCCTCCAGATCTCCCATTGAGTTGCAATGATGAATGGTTAATTTTTTCATATGCATAACGGCAGCTGTCTAATTTTATTTTCTAGCAAGTGAGCTAGAGATCTTTAATGAGTCTTTGACTGAAGACTCTTAAGTTGGAAGAACAATGACCATGGATAAGGTAGAGTGGACTAAAGTTTTTTTAGTGTTTATACACAAATATGTAATTGGTTTTACTATATGTAAGAAAATCCGTAAACATGTTCTTAATACAAATCTTGCTTGTGAAGTCTATTTTAATAGATTGCAAAAGCCTTTAACAATGGAATTAACCAAGATGAAAAGCAGGGTATAAATTGAAACAAGAAATGTACACATTTATATATTTCAAATGAATATACAAATATAAATATATAAGTATATATTTATAACCTATATAATGTATATAAATTTTAGCCCATATTAAAGCAAATATGAAAACTTCAGTTGTGTTTTAATTATGCAAGTGCTTGAATAATTTTTGCTCTTAATTTAAATTAGAAATAAATCTATTATGACAATATGTACGTTTGAGACTATAAGTAGGTCTACCATACATGAGTGGCAAAAATCTATATGGCCATTAAATGGCAATAAGGAAAATACTTTTCTATTATTATTATTTTTACTACCATTTGGTGGTCCTCCTCCAGTTTGGTGCAGTAGTTAAGGAATCAAGCTAGAACCTGGAGAAATTGGAGTTCTACATCCACCTTGGGCACAAAGCTAGCTGGGTGACCTTGGGCCACTCTCACCCAAAGAAGCAGGAAATTGCAAAACTCTTTAGAAAATGCTTGCCAAGAAAACTTCAGTGACCAATGCAAGCATTTACCAGGGGTCAAAAATTTAAAAGAAAAGCTGGTTATCCAGCTTTTTGCAGATCAAATATAGTAGACCAAATATAAAATGTCCTTTTCACTCAGTTGAAGTCGTTTTGCTTACATCAATGACTCTTAAACTGTTTGACTCAATTCCCCTCTTTTCCAGTCTTAAATAATGTAATTACTCCCACAAACAAAACAGACTCTTTCACACAAGGCTCTTGACAGCAATAGTCTGAAATCACTCACAGCCAAGCAATTCCAAATTGCTCTGTTACCCCCAGGAGATACCCAATTGCCTTGTTGGGGGAATGACTCCCAGTTTAAGAAGCGCTGCTGCAATGCAGCAGTTGAATAGTGTATTGTCCTTTGTGACTACAATTAAATAGTGCACACTGAACAGAACAATATCTGTTTTATATTGCACACATTATTAAACCCTATATTATTGATCGAGGACATTACTCTTTCCAAAACAAATTATACCCCAGTGGCCCATGAATGTATCTTATCCTTAACATGAAAGGAAGTGGAATTGACTATCTCTAAGCAAAGATTCTAATGGCTTTTACACTGCCATTTTATTTTCAAGGAAACAGCTGATCTGAGTCAACATTGGGTAAAGCGATGAAATGAAGCACTACCAATTGCAACATTTTCCAATTTTATTGACATCAAGCTTCCTCTTCTTGGTGTTGAAATACACTGTGTGCGTTAGTGAGTGGGTTGAAACTTTTGCAGGAATATCAGCTATATTAAGATCTTTGGTGTGAGTGCAAACACGTGCAGATGCATAACTTGGGGCTAAAAAGCATCCCCCACAACTGAAACAAAGGATACCTTTAAAGAAAGGACTATCCTCTTTATGGTGAAAAACAATCATCTTTCATTAGCTACAATTTTTTCAAATTCATATTGGGAAGTAGCTTATAATTAGTATTATATAAATCCAGAAAATTGCATAAAATAAACCATGGTTTAGTTATCCTTGACTAAGTTTGTTGTACAAGGACAGTTTCTGAATCAGACTATTGATTGTTCTGAAGAATAGAGTCAAGTGTAGGAGAAATTCCAAGTCTGCTGTACTATTTCTCATGATACATTGTTAACAAAAATAAAGAATTCACAGCATACATTTTATACCATTTAGCCCAGGAGTAATCCCTAATTACTGGTAGTTCATATAATCTTACTCCCAGATACAATAACACAGAATTGTAATCTCTGCTTTCATGAGAAAGCCACTGTCATGATGAGTTACAGGGGTTTGGGAGAGCCCCTAGCTAAGATTCTATGCAATTTGGAGAACCCCCAAATCCCACACCTGGTAGGCCCCTCCCACCCCGCCCCTCCCAGGAGTCCCCACACAGCCCATTTTGGATGCAGGTAAGTGCAGGATGCACGCAGAGGCTCCAGGAGGGCAACAAATGGACCTCCCAGAAGTTCAGGAAGGCTGGAAACAGGCCCATTTCTGTCTTCCAGAGAGCCTCTGGAGCCCAGGGAGGCCATTTTTGCCCTGCCAGAGGCTCAAGGAAAGCCTCCAGAGCCTGGGGAGGGCAAAAACTCCCCCCCGCCATGGTTCAGGAGGCTGACTAGACTACACCCACCATGGCCATGCCCACCCAGCAACTGAGCAGAGAACCTTTTGCTAAAATTTTTGAAGCCTATTCTGATTAGGCTTCAATAAAAGCTGATAGTCCTTAAGTATTATCAACTAGTATCAGACTCTTTTTAATTGCAACAGAATGATATGGCTACTCCCCTAGAATCAACAATTATATTTGTAAGCATATGGTGTGTTGCAATAGTGTTGCATATGAGTTCACTATGCATGCGCCAGTTCCTCACACAAGCTTTTAAAGTTTATTACTCATTTCTGATGAAGGGATTTTTTTTCTCCTAAAATTACATTAACTTTCCATAGTGGGGAGATACAGCATGTGATTGATGTGTAAAAATTGGGAAGTTCAAACCTAACCATCTAGGGGTAAAGAAAAACAGGGGCACCGATGCTTTCCTATACTCCAAAGGCTATAAATAGTCATCAATTTTTGATGCCTTGTCTAGAAAAACGTCTTTCTAACATCTAGCAATTCTGGCAGCAACCATTAGTGGGAAGAAACTCTAAGTGGCCCTACAACTCCTTTCATCTGCATTCAATTTATCAAAAGTAAGTAGAAAATTCTGATTAATTTGTTTGGGGTGGAGAGGAAAAACTTCTACATAGAAAACCTAAACAGTGGTTTGCTTTGTCATTTCTCTGCCTAAGGAGGTTCAAGACTTTTCTAAGCAAATTCAAAATACTGTAATTTTGTGCTATATTGCTATGCAGGAACCAGTCTTTCTTCCCAAGCACTGCACTTTGACAAGGGAATATGTTGCTATTGGGCGAATTGGGATATTATTTTTATTCCTTTAAATAATATTTAAAGTAGCGTAAAAAACTGGTAACAAGCTAAGGTGTTGTAGCAAGCAATGCCATTCTGTAAAGAAAGAACTTGCTGGTCTATTTGAAGGTAACAGCAAAATCAAAGAAGCTGTTTACAGTAAAGACACATAGCTTACGTACTGTGATTAGCTATAGGTGCTGCTACTATGGATGTTGTAACTAGCCACCAATATTTTCCTACATGTTGTGATGGAGAATACCTGCCCCAGTGAGCTTTTACATGTGAGAACCACATGAGGTGCCCATCATGAGAGTATGTGAACAGGAAGAGGGGAATATGTTTGGTTATCCCAAAGGTGCTTTTTCAAAAGGCAACTGGACTTCGTTTTCCTTGAAGATATTTCACTTCTCATCTAAGAAGCTTCTTCAGTTATGGTGGAGGTCATTTGGTTGCTAGCACTCATTCTAAGAATCGCAGAGGCTACTTGGAGGTTTATCTATGCCCTCAGGTTAAAATAGTGCAAATGGGTGTGGAACCTTCTTGGAACTGCTGAGTGTTGTAAACGGGAAATAGGTGGTAGGATTACCACACTACCTATCTCCTGTTTACAACACAAGTCCTTTCAATTGATATTTTCAATGTACAAATGATCTTCTGCTGACAGTGCTAAGCAAGCTTCAAAGGAACTTAGACAAGGTGCTCTGTATAGAGGCAAAAAGTTGCTTCCTTCTGGGATAAACCACTGCAAGCAGAACATGTTAGGAAGCCTGAGTACTGCCAGTAAGCAGCCCTGTAATAGTTTGGTAGGTGCAGTTTAGATCAGAAACGTATCATAGACTGGCAGGATGTTGAATTATCACAGTCTTCATCCTCAGTCACCATGTTTACTACTCCAGGATTCAACCTCTTGAGGACAAGGAAGGGACGTTATTTTTTCCCCTCTGTTTCATTTTTTCCCCAGGACTCTCTTCTGCAATGTGTGTGGGTACTTGTACTCGAATCCTGGGCCCGTGCCTCCTTATCTTGGGCTTTCTTTCCATTACTGCTAATATTCTCCTACTCTTTCCCAATTGGGAATGGTGTTACCTAAGCCTGGGCCAAATATCCAAGAGGGCAATGCTAATGCCAGGGGTATGGGGAGGAGGCCTGCTGGTAAGTAGACTACTTTTTAATAACACTGGTCACTGCCTGGATAGGTCCCTGCAGTTTTCTTTGTAATGCTTCAGAAATGGTTTGCCAATGACTTCTTTCTAGGTTGGTGTCAGCCTCCCAAGATATAAGATGAGCTAACAGAACCCTGTAAGCATGAAACTACAAGTCTCCGCTGCCTCTTTTTATTGCCTGATTACTTAGAACAGATCCTTTCTAAATTTCTTTCTCTGCCTGTTGTTCACCATTGGGTTCCTCCCCCTTTTCTCTGATCATTTCCTAGGCAACATCTCTTCCCATTCCATTTTCCAACGACTCACGTTCCATAACAAAGAGAGAGAATGGAATGGGCCAAAGGGCACCCAATTGTCTTTGGGCCTAAGGCAGGCCTGTAATTAACAGTCTCCCAATTTTTAGCCTGGTACCTTAATCATTACACCAAATTAGCTCTCATAGTTGGTTGAATATGATTTAAATATGTTTAACCATGATTTTATTAACCAAACCATAGTGGCTGAGCTCAACCTATTAAGAATCCATAATTTATAATGACATAAATCCACAATAAATCCAAACCAAACTAAACTATGGTTTAGTGCATATGAATCATTGATTGCTATAGTATCTGATAACCATCTATATGGCAATTGCTTCGTAATCTGTAAAGAAGAAAAATTCATTAACTTATTGTAATCTATACTACTGTAATCTACCTTCCATAGTCAGAATTTTTTTTCTGGGTATTTAGTTGAAATTTTGTCTTTTCAAACTGTCTGTTAACTTCCTACTCTTTGAGCCACAGCAAAAAAAAGGGTGTATTAGTTCAATTTACTATATTTATTCATGCCCACCTCTTTGCAAATCCTGGAAATAGCTCATCTTTATTCGCACATTTTGATGAATATCATATTAGGGACCCATAATTTCCTATGAGGGCTTGATTGTCAGTCTTAAATTGCCCTTACTTCCACAAAAAGTGTACCAACAGCTTAGTGAAGTGACACAATTTTAGTATATTAAAGTTAGTTCTGCTCATCATTGAAAGTAAGTCAGTTTCCCTTAAGGTGGGAGCTTCTGAAAATATTGGGACCATAACTCCAAAAATTCTCCAGGCTTTGGACCACACACCTATATATTCTATATCAGAAATATTTTGCACTGGGTTAAGCCAGCCTTATCTGAGCTGTAAAAAACTGGGCAACTACACAATGTCAGCAAACAGTTTGAGTTTGCTGCCATTGGATAGCCACCTGGATTTTTGCAGCTCAAAACAGGGAAGGTCTACATTAGATACTAATAACTCATAATTGTGAATCCTCTTGTAACCATGTTCTCTTCCTTTTTATTTTTGCAAAATGTTGTAAAGTTTCTTCAATTTCTGTGTAAAATGTAAACATTTTTATTATAGCCTAGATATGGATAAAGGTTAAAATTATTTATAAATGGCTTGTTCTAACCAAGCATGTTAAGATTGCCACCCTGTCATCATAAGGCAATGCACCTCTGTCTTAAGGGAAGACATGAAGATATAAGAGATAGTAAAGTTGTTGGATTAAGACTGGGGAGACTCATATTCAGTCCTGGATGTTCATGCATTACTATTGAGCTACTCACAATCTTCTAGTTTATCCTACTCACAGGGTTCTTTCTACTGAGATTAAAGTAGAAACGGGTCTACTTTGACTCCATGAAAAGGAAAATGGACAAATGAGTAATTAAGAGGTCTCACATAGTAATAATAAGAGAGAAATACACCAAATTCAACCTAAGTATTTAGATCATAGAATAACAGAGTTGGAAGGGACCTTGGAGGTCATCTAGTCCACCCCTGATTGAGCAGGAGAGTCTATTCCAAATATTAGCCTCTACCTAGGATCAAGCTCACAGCCACCTGATTGTGAGTTGAGAGCTCCATCTCTAGGCCATCAGAGCTGCCTGACTGTGTGATGAATCTTAATAATAACATATCAAAATAATATCCTTTATAAACTCTGACTGTAGGGCACTAGAGAATACTGCTCATTCCAAACTATGTCCTTGTAGGTTTTTCCTGCTGCAGTTCAGATCACAGGTATTGGATGGAGGTGGAAGTACTTCAGCAGCCCAGGAACTTGCTGTAAGGTAAGAGAGATGTAGTTGATGATTCTGTGGATGAAAAGTTTCCAGTTTTAATAAATAGATCTTGGGGGAATATCTCACTCTATGTCAGAAATAATTCAAGATTCCCATAGTTGAAAAAAGCAACAGACAGAACTTAAATAGTTATACCCTCAGAGAAAAGAAGCATCGTAAGAATATATATTGTCTGTTTGTTTTTATTAGCCGTGTTCTAGATTCATGGATGTGATAGAAAACTAAAATGTAACACATCTATTCCATTTTGTGATACCATGAAGCTATATCCTGCAGTAAATATATAATTCAGATTTTATGCATTTGTACTTTACATGTCCCAAAAGGCATCAGGGATGATAAATATAGAAGGAGGTTGCCTCATTTTAGCTTCAGATCTTTGAAAATGATTAGACTGAAAGAGGACAATTGCCTGAACTTCATGGATTATCCATTACACTTGAGTGAAAATTGGACTCTGGTCTTTCTAGGCCAACATTTCCTTCCCTACTGTTCTACATAAAGTCCTTAGTTTTCAATTAGAAGTTGTTCGTGAAGTTTTGTTCCTTTTTTGTTTCTTAAAAATCAAGATGGGAGGCTGTAACGTCTAGAAAATAAAAAGAATCCTGAACAAAACTCAACAAGGACACATCCTCTAATGTTGGGTTGTTTGTTCCAGTTGCCTGTAATTGCTGTCGTTATATCACTAGTAAAGGAATGATGATAGTGATGATGATGTTATCCATTCAGTCGAGTCCGACTCTTGGCAATTCTATGGGCCAGGTCTCTCCCACATCTTCTGACCTTGCACTATTTCTTTGAGTTTTTCTATGCTTTAGCTGGTGTCACTTTTGATAGTGTCCAGCCACAATGTTTTTTGACATCCTGTTTTCTTTTTACCGCTAACTCTTCCAAATATAATTGCTTTGTTCAGTGAATTCCCCCACATGACATGGCCAAAGTAAGTGAGACACACTAGTAAAGGAAGGCAGACTCCCAATCTCTATCGGTGCTCTCCTTTTTTCAACACTAGAGAAGACATGATCTAGGAGCTTTGACTTAAATCCTAAATTAGGAGTGAACATTTCCATCATGACAAAGCTGAGAGGGCATGCCTATAACCCACATACATTCATGTCCTCTCCACCCCATTATTTTTCATAAAAATCTGTTTCTGGTTACAGTTCTCTTCAAACTGTCTTAATTTCAGTAGCATAAATAAAGGAAGGATATTGTTTTTATTTGCCCTGGTAAAGAACTGAAGGCTGAAATCCATAATACTGTAAAAACATAGAGCTGAAACGGGGCATCTTTATGATTAGTCCATATCCTCAGTTCAGCAGAAGAATCCAAAGCCGAACATCCCCCACAGGTGGTAGTCCACCCTCTCCTTATGTATATCCAAGGGAGGAGCCTGATGCTACCTCAGTAATTTCTTCCACTGCTAACAGTCTCCTGTTGTCAGGAAAGCTTTTTTAAAAAAAAATTTGAATCTGAATCAGCACCAGTGATGCTATTGTACCGGTTCGGCCCGGTTCCGGTAACGCCGAGGATCAGTGGAGATCAAACCTGTTCTCTCTGAGGAGTTGCTGTTGGGCCTACCTACCATCCCGGGCTCCCATACTGACCTTTATTCCCTGCTTTTGAAGCGTAGCTGCTTTGCGCAGCAGAGCTGCCATGCGTCAGCTGTTGAAGTGACAGGGAGAATGCAGGATTGGAGGAGGTGAGTTGGAAAGCCTCTGCACGTGTGTAAAGTGTATGCGCATGCGCAAAGCACACCAACCAAGCCACAGCCACCGAATTGGTGGTAAACTATTTTGAAACGCACCACGATTAGCACCATTCTGCAACTGTTTCCTACATTCCTACACTAACGAAATCTAAATCTGCACAGCATGTTCTCCATTCTGCTCCCCTGTCAGGAGCAGTTGAAGCTGAGGAAAAAACAGTACCTGAAATGTAACAGATATCATATTTATTTTTTTCTTGAAATGTTGCAGAGCCAATCTCCATCTTACCTCTTCACAACTCTGAGGCTAATAGATATTGTCTTGTATATTTGAAGTTAATATCTGTGCCTCTTTTGCCTACAGATGTTTCTTTCCATTCTGCTGTCAGGACTGGCCCTCCTAGGATCGGCGGCTTGTTTTATTTTGTCTGGTTCAGGCTTGACGGAGGGGCCACTCTGTCTCTATAATTCCACCCTCAATCATAACAAAGTGCAACAGTGGGGCTACCCATTTCTTGAAATGGACTACCATGTCTTCAACAATGGGTAAGGTGACTGAAGTTCATGGGCCAGCTTACAATATTGCTTAGCACATATTATTTTGCTTAAATAATTCAAACTTGCAGATAGCCTGTAGGTAGGTTCAGAAAACCATTCCTTGTAAAAGTGTGCTTTGTGTGAACACTTTGTGTATATTTGCTTGAAGAGACATATGTGAACTCAGGTTTTCAGATAAAATCCTCTACATATAGAGTTTCGCAATAGAAATGGGTCATGCTTTTTATTAAAAATAAGTGATAAATACTTAAATAGAAAATCTGCATGGGACAGTTGACTTCAATCTAGCACTATTTAAAATTTAGTATTCCCCAAAATTTTAGCCATATCAGAGGTACTCTTGAAGTGGTAGCCATAATACAACTGGAGGGTACAAGTGGGGAGAAGGCTAAGGCTGAGGGTCAGTTGAACTGGAATATGGAAAAAGGAAAAAGATTTTAAGAGCATTTAAAAGTACCCTAAATAAAAACAGTGAATCCGTGCTACCATTGTTATTACATTTGGTTAAAATTTATTGTTCCAAGCCTACTAAGTCAATGCAGAGAGATATCTATGAGGCAATGCAATTAGGAAGGAACAGATTAGATGAGAATAGAAGTAGTTAAAGTGCTGGATATTTAATAGGATAATAAAGTTTTAGTTAATATTTAGAACTATACACAGAAAAAATACTATTAATTGAGGACTCCCCCCCCCCAGTAACTCTGCTTTAGAAAAAAAGTCTACAACTTACTTAAAATCTGCTTCTTTTAAGGGCTCAGAATTACCTGTATGATCCTTCCCTTTGGAATTCAGTTTGCATCAAGCCACAGAATATTGTTGGCTGGAATGTGTATTTCTTCTCTTCCCTCCTAGTCATCAGCACGGTTGAAATGATCCTGGCTGCTCTCCAAATTATCAATGGCTGTTTTGGATGTGTCTGTGGCTTATGTGAACAGAAGAAATAGGTTTCGGAAGCGTTTTTAACCTTCAGTTCATTTGTACAGATCAGATTACAAAGATATTGTGCTAACTTGATTTACAACTATATTTTTTGTCACTGTAGCTTGCACAGCTGGTTCTTGCATAGTCATGTAAGAACAGAGATGATGTTGACCCCCCCCCCCCCAACAGTGATCTCTCATTACCAACCCTCCAGGGTATGACAGAAGAATTAATAGAACTAAGCAGTCACTATCAGGCCATTGAGACTGAAACTGCTATGAGTATAGACATTCTCAAGAGCTAGAGAGCTAGGAAGCTGACTTTGATATAATGATCATAATGATTTTATAATTAGTGATATGGTACTGTGGTGTATATTTATACACATATTTATTCGTGTTTCTGTTTACAAGAAATCCTTAACTGTTGTGCTAAATGTTTTTTTAATCCTAAAATTCCTCTTGTTTATGTGAGTGAATGAGACGTAAGCCGGAAAGTACTGTGATTTTTCTGAGATAAAGAACAGTACAGTACAGATAGGAAGCCTGAATGGAAAATACTCACTCCAAATTCAGTTTAAGGCAAATCCTTTGATTTTAAGGTCTACTTTCTACCTCATAGATGGTCCCCAATCTCTAGAAGGTCACAACCTGGGGAACAACTTTGACCTGAATTCATGTTATTTTTGCCCAAACTAGCAAATAAAAAGATGTGGTGACCAAGACCATTAATCTGAGAAGTTTAGAAGTTTCACTTTTTAAAACAGGAATGGGCAACTCAGAATCCTCTAGCTATTTCAAGTATTAAAACCCAAGCTGGAATAGCTAATGTCACACATTGGGAGAGACATCATCCAAAATATATTTTATTACCAAACATGGTAAAAAATTCCCAAAGAAACGAGGTAAGTATGGCACAATATGTTAAACTTTCATGCCTGATATTTGAATAGTACCTTCATATATATGTATGTGCATGCTTGGGATATGGGAAACTAAGCAGTACATCTGTCAATACTCTGATGAAGCAGAGGGCTAAATAGTCCTAGTTGCCATTTCCTTTCTAATCCTTTATCTCTCATCATCCCATCCACCCCATAGCAAACTTAGAAACCACTGGAAAACATGAAGTGTCAAAACTGGCAAGAGAGGCTATCATGTTTTTCTTTCATTTGAATGCTTAAAAAAATACAGTGGAAAGAGACCTTCAGTTGGTGCCTTGGCAGCACATACTCCCTAATCCTTCAATATTTTATATACTGAATAGTCTGAAAACTAAGGGTATTTTAAAAGCTACTCTTTCAACATTTGCAAGAGCATGTTTTTGTCAGAAAGAGAAAAGCATCGGGATATGACACAGCAAACTTTGCCCTTTTGTACCTGTGTGTGGTATCACCACACACACACACACACACACACAAAGAGGCTGGCTTGCATCACGATATCATGACACTGCTTTCATCATTCTGCCCCAATCCCTCTTGCTGTGCCAGCTATCCCTTCAGGCCTAGTGAAATTGTACAGAGGTTATTAGATACTGTAACTATATTCATAGCCTTCTAAAATATTTACTGGCATTGCAGTAGTCGAAAAGAAATTCTGCTAAAGAGCAAGGATGACCTACACCAGTGGATTTCAACCTTGGCAGCTTTAGATATATAGACAACTCCCAGAATTCCCTAGCCAGCACTGTTCTCTGGGGAATTCTTGAAGTTGAGGTTGATACATCTGAAAGCTTCCAAGGATGATATATATTGGCCTACACTAGGTGATCTTGGGTTTCATACATTCAGAGTCATGTATATGAGATGAGTGGCTATCCTTCCCCTAGAAGACTAGATTGAGAAGAATGTTATTATTTTCAAGAGAAAACACTACTTTGAACTGCATAATCTATTTTTCTTCCTTCACGTTTTTCAAATTGCATCAAAAGTATTGTTCACATTATGACTAGACTTTGTTTTTATTGATTGTCTCCATAATAGCTGCTTAATGGAAATAATAGCTTTTTTAATGGAAACTGCTGAAAACCTATGTGCTTAAATACCAAATAAAGATATTTATTTTTCCAACATTTCTTCAAAAATATTTTTCCCATAAATAAGTGTGTGACTCAAACTTCTCCAGGTGTATTATTCAATGTCAGTGTTGCTCACTCATTCTTTATATTTAAGAAGCCAGAAACCTTTTTCCGGAGTAGATAATTGTTAATTGGCAACTTTTCTTTTCTTTTAAAAACATCCTTGTTAATTGTGATATAAGCCTTTCAAAGAAGGGCTGACAACTTCACTTTAGGCATAGAAATATGCAGAGGGAACCAATAGCAAGACCAATAGCAAGTTATTTCTCTTTGAGAGAAATAACTCTACTTAGACCCTGAACAGAAGACACGGGAAATACACATCTATATAGGAGAACTCTGCATCAGCTGTTCTCATTCCTATAGGGCATTTAGCAATAGCATTTTAGACTTATATACTGCTTCACAGTGCTTTACAACCCTGTCTAACTCCAATTATCCTCCTTGGAATAGCCATACAGCAGAAAGTGTAGCCCTAAAGCACACACTTGCCTTCCATTCTTGAAGTGGGAGAATATGATGTGGTAGTGGAGGGGATTGCACCTCTTTCTTTGGCTCCAAAGGACTTGGGAGGAAATGATGAGAAAGGGAGCATCAGTCCTCTTCCTTCCCACAAGTCACCTAATCTCAGAGAGTCCTGCTGCCCCCAATTTCTGATCACTCAAACAGCAACCCTGTTGCTGCCCTGCAGAAATCAGTCAGATTTCTTGAGCTGGATCTATAGCAATCACCATCTCAAAATGGCACACAAGGGCTGAAAGAGAAACCCAAAGTTACACTATATATACTTAGCACAAGAGATACCAACCTTATGGAAAGCCTACATATGATCTTTCGCGAGATCAATATTTTCTGACAAGCAACATACACCCAAAGAAAAGACCAGCTGTGCCAAAGGGGAGCCTCATGTCTCTGGCTATGGTGATCCAGAATCCTCCAGTCAGAGGGAAGGGAGCAGCACTATAGCCAGAGGGCCAAGTGGAACCCGGTAGTTCAGCCACCTCCAGAGGTTGTTCTTTGGTGCATGCTAGAAAGTTCAGATGAGAGTTGTCCTGTATTCTGAAGAAAGAAAAATAAAGCAGCTTTCCTGATGGTCCATCTTGACTAGGTTCTGCTGTCCCAGAAGACTGTAAATGAGATGAGGGCTCTGCTGTGAAGATATGTGCCAACCGCAACCGCAACGTTAATGAGTATTTGTGAGCTGGGCAAAGAGCCCATAAATATTGACCTGCAAGGGATGTGACTACTATAGAATAGAATGGGCATGGCAAAAATAATAATAATGGGGGTGGGGTGGAAAGGAGGTTTGCACAAAATAAATGCATTTAAATATTCTATCATTATGCTATCTCATTATTTGCTTAGTACTAATGTAATAGAGATAAATGGACGCTCACAAATTACCCACTAATAGTAAATCTTAGAATAATATATGAAACTAATCATACCCTGAAATTACATATTTCACCACATCCATCCATCAATAGTTCTGGAGATAACCTGGTGAAACTGACTAGGTAGTTTGGAGTTTTTTTGTCACTGCACACTAGCTGTAGAGCACAATCAATTCTGCCTCTAATAAGAATCAGGTATATAGACAAAATCACTCATACAAGGAAATGTCAAACCGTTCAATTTTGCTTCACTTGGCCCTTGAGAATATTTATTCAGGATTGTCCACAGAATGTAGTCAAAAACATCAAGATGATGGTTATAGTTATAGCACTACAATCAAAACTACACTTGTGTTTTATGTGTGTTATGACATTTCCCACCATATTTCATGCCAGGCAATGTTGTTGCCTCAATCTGTATTATTATAATATGGTAACAAACCCCTTCATACCCTTTACATTAGACATTATGGACTGCATGCTGCTCTGGATAGCTAGTAATACAGCCCTACAAGCTCATAAACTTTTAATATTACAATGTGATTTTACAATGTGTATTTTATATTTTATATGCAACCCAAGATAGCTGCTCCTCACTCAGTGCATCCCAGGCAAGCCAAAAGTTTGGACACCCATGCTTTACATGCTCCATTGAAGTGAATGTGCCCTAATATTTGTAGAGAAAATACAAAAGAGATGCTGGACTTAAGCATGGGTGGTGTCTGCTGTCTTAAGACCCAACCTGTTAAGTGCCGGGGAAATCAGGAGATTCTGGCAGTTCAAATGAGTATAAAGTTTTATTGCAAGTTTAAAACAGGGGTGGGATCCTGTCGGCATAACAATCGGTTTGGTGAGCACGCGCTTTGTGCATGCACACATGCGCAGTACTTACAAAGCAACTTCTCCTGCCAGCAATCACCATCTCCTGCTGACGTGCGGCATTCAGCTGTGCTGGGCTAAGCAACTAAGGTAAGAATAAAGGACAGCTAGAGCTCAGGTGAATGGGTGGGCCCAAACGAAGAAAAGATTTTTTTTTTTAAGAGAACTGGTTTGGAGCTATCAGTTCTATAGAACCAGGCCGAACCGGTAGAATCCCACCCCTGGTTTAAGCTCTCTACAAGAATTTGAGCTACTAGTGGTTAAAGGCAAGGAGTGGGAATTAAGAAGTCATTCAAGGAGGGTCACTCTTAGATCTCTTGTGGGTGCGAAGTTTGGCCTCTCCTTCGAACTCAGCCTGGTCATCTCCTACAGAACCATTAAAAAAATGTAAATGATATGGCAAGACTAATCCTGCTCAGTTCTGGCCAGCATGGCAGATGCCTTTAACAGATTGCCTTGGATGATATAGTTTCGCTTCTATGGGGATGGAGGGGTAATGGATATTATTCTCCTTAATAACAGAATAACAGAGTTGGAAGGAAAGGCTTCTAGTACAACTCACTGCTTGGGCAGAAAACCTTATATCATTCCAGCCAAATGATTGTCCAATCCCTTCTTTGAAACCTCCAGTGATGGAGTACCCACAATTTCTGGAAATAAGTTGTTCCACTGATTGTTCTCTGCTCTAACCCTTCTCTAACTTAAAGTCACGTAGTGTAGTGAAATGCATTTATTTGTATATTGGAAGAAAAACATGACACTATGTTTTGGTGTAAACATAATAATAATAATAATAATAATAATAATAATAATAATAATAATAATAATAATA